CCCCACATACAGCATACAGGGCTTTTTTGTACATAGTTGGTGCTCAATCAATATTTGTTTTTAAAAAAGCAAACTATAACTCGATGAGATACACCCATCCCTCCCTCAGTCTGTAGTGATCCTGATCCCAGAGCACATACCTTGAGAAATCCGGAGTCATAGAATCCCGGGAGGTCGAAGGCAAACCCCTGGCAGAGCACCCTGTCCATCCAGCCCTTCAGGATGGCTGGCACGCTGAACCAGAACAGCGGGAACTGGGGGCAACACCAAGGACAAACAGTGCGGTTGTCTCAGGCTTGGTTAGTCTATCTGGAGACTCAGCAGGAAGCCCACTGTCCTCTTCCAGGGTGACCGAGCAGGTGAGTGGAACCCACGGGAACTCGAGTGGGGACATTTCTTCCCTTTCAGTCTGAGGCCTGCAGTGTGGGTGTGTGAAGGTGGAGTGGGGTGGGGCAGAGTGGACAATGGTCCTGGCTGCTGTCACAGGTGGCCCTGTGTCCCCCAGTGACAGCCCCCTTACGCGGGTCCCTAAGCAGATGGGGAGGCACTCAAAGCTCTGTTGGACTCTGGCTTGGTGGCACAGCCTCTGCGACCCAGGCAATGGGAGGAACAGGAGGAAGGGTGTGGGAAAGAGCCTGCCCCTTCATGTGCCTGGGGAAGCTGCTGGCATCTGGGAAGCAGACTGAGTGAGGTTCTGAAAACTCACCCTCAGATCCCACACATCAGCAGTATGATCTTCCTGAAGCTTTTTGTTCCCAGGGAAGCCCTGACACTACATCCAACAACGTCATCAGTGAAAGAGATACACTCTGCATCATGTGCTTTCACTACAACTCAGGACGTGGCCCTGAGATCCGAGCTTCACAACTACTGCTGTAGGATATTGGCCAGTTACCTAACCTCTCTATCCCCCCTTTTCCTCATTTGCAAGTAGGGGCTACTCCTGGTCCCTAGTTCACCGCGGGGTGGTGAGGGAGGATCTGGAACAGAGTGCCGGCTCAGGGAGGGTGAGCAGTGTATGGTAACAGTAGTAGTGGGGATGAGTGAACGAAATGAACTGACAGTGCAGGCCCTTTGGCAAAGTATCAGGAAGAGGGAAGGTGGGTGGGAGAAGAGATGTGACATGGGGTAGGATAAAAAAACAACTTAGTAGTGTCAACAATAAAAATAAAATTAAACAAAACAAATCAAGACAAACCATTATGAAAACAACAGGCCTTGGCTGCTTTAGCTACCCAGTTCCCTGAGTGGTCTGCTGACCCCAGGGAGACCAGCAGGACAGTGTGAGAGCTGCTCTGGTTCTGAGGCCAGTGTTGCTATAGCCCACAGTCCAGGTGCCAGGAAGGGGGGTCTTGTTCTCCTGCCCACTTCCTGCCCTCAAACAGGGTTGGGAAACAGACAATCTGGACCAATCAGTTCCATCCTGGAGAGTCTGCATCTAGAGACTCCAGTCCTCTGGGTGAAGCAGAGGACAGAGCCGCAGGCAGAGAGAAGCTGATGGGAATCAGAGAAAGAAAGAGCAGAGGGGCCCAAGCCTCTGTTTCTATGGTCTCTCCCCACAGTCTGTCCTGTTTTTTTCTAGTTTGACTTGGATTTCAAGTAACCTGATGACTCCCCAAAAGCATGTATTTATTTTGCTGCCAGGCTTAGGGTGACATCCCTGTCTTGCTGGGCAGGGAGTGGCCTTGATGAATTTGAGTCCTTAGAAGCAGTGTCCTGGGCCAGTTCCTTCCCAGTGAATTGCAGCCCTGGCACAATTTGTGAATGAATACGGGATGGGGTGGGTGAGGCAACGAGTGAGAGGCAGGAAACAAAGGATTTTCCTCTGAATGATCAGTATATTGAAGGCAGGAGCTGCATTTGACCTGCTGGTGTAGACAACTCCGGTTTTCCTGTAGCCCCTGCCTGCCTGGTGTGGGGATTAGAGGGGAATGAAAGCAATATTGTACGCACAAATCATACATTTTTTGGAACACTGGTCTTAAGGCAAAGTATTTCCTATTTACTTGGCGGTCAGGATTTTGAATGAGTGATTCTGGCTATATGGATCTCCTTACGCAACTAGACATAAATAAGTGTGCTGAAAACATCGACACCACTTTTAGGAGCACAAAATCCAATATCTGGAAAGAGTTCATCCATAGGATGAATCTAATGCATTATAATAATTAGAGGAAAACAAACCTGAAATATCACTAGATCAGCATCCTGAACCTTTTTCTGCTCCTCGACTATGTCACTGGTGAGCAACTGCTTCTTGCAGGCTTCATATACTTCCACCCCGTAACTGAAGAAGTCAGGATTAGAGAGAGCACCTGCAGAAGAAAAGGCCAATGTCCTCGCTCTCAGGACCATCCATGGCCAGCCCCACTAATGTCATTTTCCCTGGATTCCCCAAAGCAAGTCAGCAGACATTCACTGAGATCCAACTGGTGATCAGGCTATGCAAATAAAAAGAAAGGAAGCTACTGTCCTTACCTTCAAGGGGTTCAAAGTCCAGTAGGAGAAGTAGTTAAATAACTGACCAAATGATTAACATACAAAACAGGACTGGTCGGCTAGCTCAGTCTAATGTTGGGGCCAGAGCAGCCTCACGTCCCAGTCAAGGTGCATGTGGTCTTACTCTGGGTGTGTGTTAAGCACAGCGGTGGCCCAAAGGGGCAGTGACCAGCTCTGTTTAGGTGGGTTAGCGAACACAGCCCTGGCATGGGCTTTGTGAACTGGGTTTTGAAGATGGAGCAGGATCACCAGGCAGCCTGGAACACTAGAGGGAAGTGGAAGGATGACCTGGGCAAAAGACACAGGGCAGTGTGTCTGCCAACCTGGTCAGCCCAGAAAGAGCCACCAGGAGCATACCTGAGGAGCTGGGGTGGAAAACCAGTGGGGATGCGTTTGATGTGACTGCAGAGATGGGTCTCTGGTCTCGTGAGCTTGCTAAGGAGCTTAAGCTTTTCTTGCACACGGGAGCCATATGGCTTGAGAAAAAACAAGGTCTCTGATTTGGGTTTGGAAAAGCTCACTGTAGCAGCAGTGGTTCGAGAGCCAGCCTGGGGAAGGAGGACGGTCAGGCGGTGGCAGGGTGGGGGGTATTTCAGGGCTACAGCTCACAGCACTTCCCTACAGCAGCTACAATGAAAGATGAGTTATCCTGATCGACGCCTGTAATTGGGCTCCTGTCAACAAAAAGGATTCATCAGAAGGCATCAGTCAGCGTTCACAACGGAACCAGTCCTGGGCCAGGTCCTCGTCGGCAGCTGCTGTGCTCTGCACACTGTACCCCCCGTCTTCACAACTGATGAGAGGCTGCAATTCCCAACCCACCAAAGACGAAACCGAGACTGGAGGGGCCAGCGACTAGTTCAGTGCGACAGGGCCCTAAGGGGCAGCGGAGGGGAGGGTGAGGGCAAGGTGTGGACACTGCAAACCCAGGGTCTGGAGAGGGGCAGGCAAGCTCCAGGCTGCCAGAGAGCCCGGGAGAGAACGGGACCTGCAGCGCTGCAATAGGTTAAAACTTTAAAAACGCCCGTGTTCTCTGCTTCCTCTTCCAGCCGACCTGTATTTCACCTTCATTCAAAACACATCGTGAGAACCGACTACTGGGCGCCACGTGGTGTGACCATGTGCTAATCATTCTCGATCACTGTTTACACGCAGTGACTCCTGAGTTTAAACATGCAGACTATAGTTGTAGATGTGTGATAGTTATTTATGTTGGTGAAGTTACTAGTGTTTCCCAACATATGGCCTATTCACTAAAGTTTGTTAAAAATAACAGTGAATTAATAACAAAAAATAACCTGTTAATTTATTTATAAGCAAGTCTTGGTTAAAAGCATTTTAAAATTAGCAGGGTGTTAATTTCCACATATGACATACAGACCGGAAATTTTGTCCGTTAAATCTGCAGTCCGTTAAAGCGAGGTCTGCAGCGTCGAGCACTCACTGTACTTCCTTGGTTATTGGTGAGAGCAGCCTGGGCCTTTAGATCCTCTCCTCCCAGAGGTGATCGCTGTTCAGTCTCTTATGTCCTTTGTAGTGTTCTGTTTCAAGAGCTGGGTTGTGACCTCCCTGTGGTCTCTGCCACCCAGAAGGTGCATGGTCCAGCCTGCATCTGGCGGCCAGTCACAGCAACGGGGGTTCTGGGCAGCTGCAGCCAGCAGGGCAGAAGCACAGACTTTCCCTGGAGCTTGTGACTGGCATCTCTTGGTCTTTATGTCTGACTGTGCCAGCTCCTTTGCATGAGGGTCTTTGGCTTTTAACTATCTTAGACTATTCTGGGAGTAAACTTAGGACCTTGTGAGGGCTGCATTTTTTTTTTACACTATTGTGTGGCCCTTGTTTAAACCATTAAGAAAACATATAGTTTGAGTCACGATTAAGACCCTATTCAGCAAGGCCAAGTGATGGAACCTTTTGAGGCAGGCCAGTCAGCCAGGACAAGTGAAACAGGAAAACTGAGGCAGGTAGTCAAACAGCAGTTGCAGCCACCTAGTAAGTCCCGTCTTCCCTACACCAGGGACACTGGAGAGTAAATGTCTGCACGTCTCCCCCCAGCCAGAGGGTAACTAGCTCAAATCTCCCCACTCAGGGAGACAGAGCAGAAATCCAGTGAGTGCCATTCACCAGCCACCCCCACGGACAGCTGGATTTAAGGGAATGAACCCCATTTTGGTGCATTCCCATAAAGCTGATGAATGTTCTGTTGAGATTCTCCCCTAAGACCACCACTAAACTCCCAGCCTTTAAAAACCCTCGAAACAAAGGTGCCAGTGACTGTCTTGCCTTCCCAGGAGCACAGCTGTGCCTCCCCTCCACAGGCACGCATATCCTAACCTGTAAGGGACCCCATAAGGCTTGCAACCAGGGCAGCAATGGGCAGTGGCAGTTCATCCCAGACAACCCTCCTGAGCCTGTCCCCAAGGCCCCTTTTCTCTGACTTCTTTGTGAATCCAGGCAGCCCAGCCTAGGCTCATTTCCTCCAGCCCTTCCCTGTTTCATTGTCCCCAGCTTTAATAAACGTCCTCTAAAATTCACCTGGACTCGTGTTGTGAAATTTTTCCTGCTCAAAGAACTCACACACACTGCCTTCTGGGTCTGGCCCTAGGCAGACCTACCAAGAGCCAGGTCCCCTTTCCAGTAACACTTTGAATTAGAAACATTTTAGAGTGCTGTCATCATGATAGCTGTTTTATTGGCTCCTATGGAAAGACCAAATTTAAAAAGTAGATACAGCCCGGCCGGCATGGCTCAGCAGTTGAGCATCAACCTATGATACAGGCGATTGTGGTTCGATTCCCAGTCAGGGCACGTGCCCAGGTTGTGGGCTTGGTCCCTAGCGGGGGCTTGTAGGAGGCAGCCGATCAATGACTCTCTCTCATCATTGATGTTTCTATCTCTCTCCCTCTCCCTTCCTCTCTCTGATATCAATAAACACATAAAAAAATAATTTTAAAAAAAGTAGATACAAAGAAATACAATGTCTAGCCTTAAGAAGTCCCTTACGATAAAAAGGGGACATCATATTGCGGTCTCAGCTTCCCCTCACGAGTCTGAGGAGAGCTGATGAAACATGAGGTTAATGAACAAGACAGTGGGGAGGGTCTGAGAGGAAAGTCAGGCGGCTCTTCCCAACAAGGCAAAAAATATCTAAACGATGACAAAGAAATCAGTGAATAAAGTAAACATTTACAGGATGAAACAATGAGAAAACAGAGTCACAGGCCTCGTCCCAGCAGGGTACAAATCCTCAGTGGTTAGTTAAAAACGTGGGGTAAATAACAAAGGTTTTAATACAGCACTACCAAAAGCCAAACAGGCCAGAGTGACCCCGTGTTGGTTACTTAAAGGTCCTCAGACAACTCCTCTACTGACCTCAGCTTGGAAAAGTTTATTTTTATTTTTACATATTTTTATTGATTTCAGAAGGAGGAAGGGGGAGGGAGGGAGAGAGATAGAAACATCAATACTGAGAGAAAGTCATTGATGGGCTGCCTCCTGCACGCCCCCTGCTGGGCACTGAGCCCGAAACCCGGGCACATGCCCTGACGGGGAACAGAACCTCGAGCTCCTGGATCTTAGGTTGATGCTCAACCCCTGAGCCATGCGGGCCGGGCAGTTTGGAAAATTTTAAACAGCTGGAAGGCAGAAATTGCAATGAGGAACCCGACCAGCAACTGCTTGGGGCAGCAGCCAGGCTGGTTAATCAGTTGTAGCGGAGCCCCTTGTGATTTTAATGCCCTAGTATTCTGGGGCAGCTAGAATTAAATACTTTTCTTCTGAATTAGGCCTTTGTTCAAATGTTAACCGCTCTTTCTGCTCAACTCCTTTTGTTCTCACAAACACAGGCATCAATTGCTGACGCACTGTCTCTTTGCCAAGCAGGAGATGACTTCAGGGTCCCAAGGCAATTTATTAATTTGGCAAAAGGAGTCTGATATAAAAAAGTGTTACCTGTTCCCTGGAGCTCCCTCTCCCCTCCCCATCCCGTAAAACTCTTCGCTGGGTACAGAGCTCCAAAGGGGGCCTGTGGACACTGGTCTGCCCTCTTCCCTGGCTGCCAGCTTCCTACGAAGAGCAACATTTCTTTTCCACCCAAAACCCGTGTCTCCAAGCAGTGATTGGCCAAACTAGGGTTTTTTGGTAACAGAATTAAAGACCGACAGGAGGGTCAGAGTCCCTCGGCTTGACCTCTCACTGGAGACCAAAAGCCTTTTGCACAGAGGGATAAAACGGGATAGAAAAGAGCAAAGCCCAGGGTTCCTCGGTATGGGAACTCCATGAACGGAGGTCCCAAACCCACTGGGAAAGCCCTGACTCAAAAGGTACAAAAGACCAATGCTCCTTACAGGTGACTATCCTCACGTACCTTCCATTCCTCGGTCAAGTACAGGACTCTGGGTCATAATTAGAGAATTTCTTAAAACCAGGGAGCATCCTCAAAAGAATTGTAAATGGATTTCTTACTGAGCCCAGTGAGAGAGGAAAATAAAATTTCACATTGTCCCTTCCTTCCTAAAAACAGACCAACTGATGGTTTTCCCTGGGGGACAGGTACTGCGGTGTCCTAAGGGCACGGTGTGGCTTTCTGACTGCCTGGGACAAGCAGATGTCACTTCTTGCTTTCGGTTCTCAGAGGGAATGACTCTGGAAGGTAGTAACCTTTGCACCCTCTTGAGTCCATGGAATTATTTAATGCTGTCAGAAATATTGACTGGTTGTCCCAGCTGAAACTTGACTACACATTTAAAAGAATTTAATAACTATGATCAGAAATAGAACTATGTCCCCAGAGGGAAAGAAACGAATTAGGGACGAT